TCTCTCTCTCTCTCTCTCTCTCTCTCTCTCTCTCTCTCTCTCTCTCTCTCTCTCTCTGTCTCTCTGTTTCTCTCTCTCAATCTCTCTCTCTCTCTCTCTCCTCTCTCTGCTCTCTCTCTTCTCTCTCTCTCTCTCTCTCTCTCTCTCTTCTCTCTCTCTCTCCTCTCTCTCTCTCTCTCTCTCTCTCTCTCTCTCTCTCTCCTCCTCCTCCTCCTCCTCCTCCTCTCTCTCTCTCTCTCTCTCTCTCTCTCTCTCTCTCTCTCTTCCTCCTACGGCCTATTTACTCCGCGTTCTTTGACGGAACGAATAAGGAGCGCAGCTAAGAGGCCAGAGAGGTTAAATTTAAGGTGGGCCCAGAGGAGGGGGGGCAGGGGACCGGAAAGGGAGTTGGACGTGCAGTTTGAGGAAAGGGAACATCGGAGAGGAAGAGAGGAGGGAGCGGAGGGGAGAGCGACGGGGGAAGAGGGAAAGGGACGGCCTTTCGCGCCGTCCGACGTTTGCGAGGACAGGGGGTGAAAGGTGCAGAGGAAGAGCGACGGGAGGAAGAGGGAGGAGGGAGCGGGAGAAGGGAGGTTGGCCGCTTGAAGTATGAGGAAGGGAAGGCAGGAGGAAGGAGGAGGGAGTGCGCCACACCAGGAGGGGAAAGGCAGGGAGAGGGAAAGAAGATGAGGTTGCGCTTTACTGTAGCGATACGTGGCGAATGAGGAAGGGAAGCTGGCAGCAGGCAGCGGAGGAAGAGTAGGGCGGGAGGGGCAGCAGGGCAGGCAGAAGGAGGACGGCGGGAAGAGGGGGCAGGGAAAGGTAGGTTGGCAGTCAGAGAATGAGGAAGGGGAAGTGGAGGGGCCGAGGAGGAGGCAGGCGAGGCGGTCGAGCGCAAGAGGTGGAGGGACAAGCGAAGAGGTTGGCGTACCCCACCGGGAATGAGGAAGCGGGAGGAGGAAGAGGAGGGCAGCGGAAGGAGAGGGGACGAGGGACAAGAGAGAGGTATGAGACGTGGGACTTACAGGAAGCAGGAAGGTTGCCGAGGGCGGGAAGAGGACAGAGGAGGCGAGGGCGGACGAGGGCGAGGGACAAACGGTAGGTCTCGGCCGTGCAGAAACACAGAATGAGGAAAGAGGGAAATGGAGGGGAGGAGCAAGAGGGCAGCGCAAGGTGAGGAGGGAGAGGAGGCGGAGAGAGGGAAAGGGAGGTTGGAGCGACCCCAATCCTGATGGAATGATAGAGGAAGGGTGATAAGAAAGATGTGAGGAGAGGGAGGATGAGGGGGTGAAGGAGTGAGGGGAAAGGCGGAAGGAGGAGGGGGGAGGGAGAGGGTAATAGGAGGTATGGTGCGTAGGAACGAGGGAAGGGAAGTGGAGGAGGAGGGGAGGAGGAAGGAGGAAGGAGGAGGGAGGAGGGAAAGGCGTAAGGAAGGATTTTATGAAGCAATTTACCTCTATGTAAAGACTCACACACACTCTTTCTTCGCCGGGAAATTTTCTGGTACTCATAGAAGTTGGGGAAGTAGGAGAAGATACGATAAAGGTGGTGATTGGAGGAAAGGCGAGGAGAGAGAGGGTAGAGAAAGGTGGATATAGAAAAATCATGATATGAGATGTGAGTTTAAGTTTCTCGAAGGTATAGAGGGAAGTGAATAAGGAAAAACAAAAGAGAGAAAGTAGAAGGTAAATGAACTAAATAAGAAAAAATGAAATATTCATTTCTCTAACATTCGTAAAAAAATGAAATAGAAAATCCTATAGGGAAGACAAACAAGTACAAAGAAGTGAATTGAGCGAAAAGAAGAGACTAAACTACTTAACAACTGAGAAATAAATAAAAAACACAACACACGAAAACCGATTTGCATATAAACAACAATGGCAAACACCAAATAACAACCACATACCCTCCAACACCACACCCAACATAATATAAATCAAAATTAATAAGATAAAAATAAATTGGAAACAAATCACATAATAAAGTAGATAGCCTAAATAATAATACAATCAATGAGATAATGATAATAAATAATAATACATAAATAACTAAATAAATACTAATAATCAAATAATAAATAAATCCAATCCCATAAATCAATCAATCCACCAAATAACTCAATCAATCACCATAAATAATAAATCCATAATACATATTAATGATACATAATAATGATAATACATAATCATCAATAATAATGATAATTAAAAAAACCGATATAATAATAAATAACGTATTATCAATACATTAAATACTGGAATTACAACAGATAATAATAATAATCAGTAATCACAATCAATCCATACATATATCAAATAATCACATCCAATAAAACAACTAACACCACCAACAACAACCACACCACAAACCAACCACACCACATCGTAGCGCCAAAACACCAGACCACTAACCCGGCCGCACCGCATAGACCACTCGGCCCACCCATTAGCAGGAGCGCGACAGGACACGTGCCCGAGCCCCGACCGGTACCAAGCACCGCGCGGCCCCTCATCTGCCGCGTCATTAGCGATCCGGGTGAGAGAGTCTTCAAATTGGCCGTCGAAATCAAATGGGTTTAATGAGAAGCTTTTGGTGACGGGCGCGAGAGGCGGCAAGAAGCGGCCATCGGGAGAGCCGAGAAGCATAAGGAGGTAGTGGAAGATGCGGGTAGATGGCCATGGATGGATGGGAATGGGTAGCATGGGGCGAACAGGGGGCGAGCGCCGAGAAACTGGATGGCCACTAGATAGACTCGACTTAGGTGCGACTAGGACATGTCCAGCGGAAAGAAGGGGTATGGTGAGAGAGGGAGAAAAAGGAGGTTAGGAAGACATAGGTAGCTGGCATGGCCAATGATAGCGACATGGATGGATGGGTGGAGCAGCGGAGAGGCGCGGAAAGAAGGGCGCGATGCGATAGATAGATGGGAATGGCTAGATAGATGGAGTTGAAGGGCATGGGAGCGAGGAGAAAAGCGACCGGTAGGAAGAATGCGTGCAAAACGGACAATTGGATGGAATGAGGAAATAGATGGGTGAGAGAGCCGGAAAGAACGGCGGATGGAATAGATAGAATGGAATGTATGAAAATAGATGGGTGAAGAGGCCGGAGAAGGGAGAAAAAGACCGGTACGGAAAAGAAATGGACAGCCACTGGCATGGGCGGACGAGGCAGGGAAGAAGGGGCATGGCGAGGGGGGACGATTAAGAGAGGTAAGGGAAGCATGCGCGTAGAGATGGCCAATGGCCATGGGACTACGCATGCAATCTCAACTGGATGGGTAGCATGGCGCGGAAGGAGCGGGAACAAGCAAGTGAGATGCGATAGATAGACATGGATGGGTGATAGATGGGCGAGAAGGAAGCGGGAAGAAGGGGATGCGCAGGAGGGAGAAAAGATAGGATAGCCCGAGATGGAGCTAGAGATTTTGATGGCCAAATGGAAGGACCAATGCTCGGAATAAGGATGCCGCGGAGCAGCGAGCGCGGGCAAGCCAAGGGGATGGTAGGACGGGAGAAAAGGAAAGGTAGAAGCATGCGGTAGAATGCAATATGGATGGACCTAGGATGGCATGCCTATCGAGATGGAGAGCGGAGACGGCGGGAAGACAAGGGTGATGGGATAGATCACGTGATGGAATACATGCGATAGGTGGGCGGAAAGGCGGACAACGAAGCGCGTCGATAGGGAGAGGCGAAGAAAGGCACGGAGTCATAGACTAGACATTGGCAATAGATGGATTAGGATGGATGCAAATGGGTGCCGAAACGAGCGGGACGAAATGGATGGGATAGCACTAGCAAGACACATGCGGAGATAGATGCGTAAAGGGGAATGGTGCGGAGGAGAGAAAAGGTACCAGGCTACTAGCGATGCATGGGTAGATGGCATGGGATGGTATGGCCCACATGGATGGATGCGACCAGATGGAATTGGATGGGCGCACAGGGGCGGAAAAAGAAGGGGATGGGATAGATAGATGGATGGGTGGATAGATAAATGGGCGAAAGAATGGGGATGGGAGGAGGGGAGATAAGGATATGGGTAGGAAGATGGATAGATAGTTGGATGGATTAGATGGGCGGGAAGTAAGGATGATGGATGAGATATAGTAGAAAGATGGCTATGGATAGTAATGCGATGAATGGCGATGGACAGTATGGTGGAAGTGGAGCGGGGAGAAAGGGGATTGGGATAGATAATGGTCATCATGGGTGAGATAGAATGGGCGAAAGGCGAAAAGAAGAGGAATGGGAGGAGAGAGAGAAAAAGGATAGGTAGAAAGAGATATAAATATGAAATGGGAATGAGACAGATGGTACAGTGGTCGTGCGGTGAGGATAAGAATTCTAGAGAGATGTGAGAGAGCTGCTGATAAAAAGGTAAGATGGCAGGTAATTATGGATAGATAGAATTGTGATAGATACAGAGACAGATTAAAGCAGTATGGACAGGACAGATAATATTTTAATAAATAACAATTAATAACAACAAATAAAACACCGAAAGGGATACCCGGTATTCCCCCTTTCCATATACTAACACACACACACACCACACAAACAAAACCTCGCACACACACAAACACACAATACACCAAACAAACAAACATACACACACAAACAAACACACTCAATGCACAACACAAATAAACCACATCAGCACAAAACAAACAAACTCACACACACAAACAAACAAATACAACACACCCACCACCACCAACAACACACAAACACACACAACTCACACCACACCAACAAACCAAACATTAAAACTCACCACCAAACAAAAATCACCACACTCCACCCACAAACAAAACCCACAACCACACCACCCACACACACAACAAACACACACGCACCACAAACAAACTCCCCCACAACACAACACACAACACAAACTCACCCAACACAAACACCACAACTCACACACACAACACACACACACCCACAAACAAAACAGAAAACTCACACACACACACAACACACACACACAAACACCCACACACACACCTCCCCCTAAGCTGAGATCCCCTCTATCCTTGTGCATCTCCCTGATTGCTCTTTGTCTCGATGATTGATCACGGTATCTCTGTGTGCATCAAAAGTGCCTGGCACTCCAAGGCAACACAAGCGCTGTCCACACAAAACAGGACCAACGATGTTCACATATACTCTCTTTGGAGTTTGCCATATGAAAGTCATAATATGAAAATAATGTATGTATGTCATCTACCTAAACATACTACATTGTATAATGTATGCTATGTACCTGATAAATAATTAATATACTACCTACATAATATTATACTCTACATAATACATAATCAATATATATAATATAATTATATATATATATATATATATGTGAAACTACTTCACTGTGTGTTGTGTGCTGTTGTGTGTGTGTGTGCCTATGTTATATATGCTATGCTATTATTAATGTCATATATGTATAATATGTAGTGTAATATGTATATAATACATATTATATATAATATATATTATATATACTAAATACTATAATATAATATATCACTCATACACTAAATATAATTATGTATATAATATAATTTTATTATTTTTTTCTAATTCTTTCCTTATTTTATTATATATATAAGAAGAGTATATATTATTAATATATATCTATATGAGTGTAGCTATCTAATCTACTCCTAACTACTAATCTAATATATATAACACATCAATATATATATATTATATATATATATATATTTATATTATAATATATATTATATATATATATATATATATATATATATATATATACATT